ATAATGAACCATCAAACAAAAACAAAACATTATGAAAATATAAAATTACATTTTATAGCAAAAATACCAGCAGTAGATTTTATATAAAAAATTTATCACATTAAGTATTTATAGTAAAATTACTACCAATTCATTTTTATAGTAACATTACCACCAATTCATTTATATAGTACGATTACCACCAATTCATTTTTATAGTACAATTACCAACAATTCATTTTTATAGTAAAATTACCACCAATTCATTTTTATAGTAGGATTACCAAGAATTCATTTTATAGTAAAATTACCATCAATTCATGTTTATAATAAAATTACCAACAATTCATGTTTATAGTAAAATTACCAATAATTCATTTTTATAGTACAATTACCAACAATTCATGTTTATAGTAAAATTACCACCAATTCATTTTAAAAGTACAATTACCAACAATTCATTTTATAGTAAAATTACCAACAATTCATGTTTATAGGAAAATTACCAATAATTCATTTTTAAAGTACAATTACCAACAATTCATTTTATAGTAAAATTACCAACAATTCATGTTTATAGGAAAATTACCAATAATTCATTTTTATAGTACAATTACCACCAATTCATTTTTATAGTAAAATTACCACCAATTCATTTTTATAATACAATTACCAACAATTCATTTTATAGTAAAATTACCACCAATTCATTTTTATAGGAAAATTACTACCAATTCCTTTTTATAGGAAAATTACCAACTATTCATTTTTATTGTAAAATTACCAACAATTCATTTTTATAGTACAATTACCAACAATTCTTTTTTATAGGAAAATTACCACCAATTCATGTTTATATTAAAATTACCACCAATTCATTTTTATAGGAAAATTACCAACTATTCATTTTTATAGTACAATTACCAACAATTCTTTTTTATAGGAAAATTACCAACTATTCATTTTTCTAGGAAAATTACCAACAATTCATTTTTATAGTGCAATTATCAACGATTCTTTTTTTATAGGAAAATTACCACCAATTCATTTTTTATAGTACAATTACCAACAATTCATTTTTATAGTACAATTACCAGCAATTCTTTTTTATAATACAATTACCAACAATTCATTTTATAGTAAAATTACCACCAATTCATGTTTATATTAAAATTACCACCAATTCATTTTTATAGGAAAATTACTACCAATTCCTTTTTATAGGAAAATTACCAACTATTCATTTTTATAGTAAAATTACCAACAATTCATTTTTATAGTACAATTACCAACAATTCTTTTTTATAGGAAAATTACCAACTATTCATGTTTATATTAAAATTACCACCAATTCATTTTTATAGGAAAATTACCAACTATTCATTTTTATAGGAAAATTACCAACAATTCATTTTTATAGTGCAATTATCAACGATTTTTTTTTTATAGGAAAATTACCACCAATTCATTTTTTATAGTACAATTACCAACAATTCATTTTTATAGTACAATTACCAACAATTCTTTTTTATCGCAAAATTACCAACGATACATTTTTACAGTAAATTTAACAATTCATTTTTCACGTAAAATGACCAGCAATACATTTAAACAGTAGAATTAGCAAAAAAACATTTTATAGTAAAATGACCAATAGTATATTTTATGTGTAGTTTACGACACATAATTGCATTCAAAATATATTCAGTTGAAGCCATAAACTTGCGTTCAAAATATTGAGATTTCGGCATTAAATGACCCATAGAGGTGTTTGAATGCCGCTAAATAAAAACAATCAACCAACCAACAACTATCACAGTGTTCCAATCTTTCAATAACTTTACAAGATATATTTTGTTAACATTTGATGTTATTTCTTGGAACCTAGGGCAGTCTTTATATAAACAACATCGTCGACAATTGTTGCAATGTCTACTTGAAATGCACTCGGGTGCACTGCAGACATTTTTGATGATTTATGCCCGCTAGGACAAACACACGCAATGTCCGCCTCCAATGAAGACTGTAACGACGAAGTTGGTTATATATTGGCTGACCGAATAATCTTAAACCAATGACGGTTCTCATCATCATCTTATCATTCTATGTGCCGTGTCTGTTCAGGTCGTGGGCTCTCATGGCTCTACACATCATCTGTCCTTCGTAGCTCTTAGTAAAGTTTGTCTTTTTGCTAACTTTCCTAATCTCTGTTCTGTCAACCATTTACCCAAGCGCTTTCTTCTTTTTCTACGTACAATGTCCCTTCTGGTTGTGTGCGATCATAGTTCTCCACAATTTCCTGTCCTTAGAAGCTCTTAGTAAATTTTGTCTTTTGCCATCTCTTTGAATCCCTGCCCTACCACCCATTCACACAAAGTCGTTAAGTAGGGTCATGCTCAGCTTTCCTCTCTGCCTCTTGCCTTCAATATATGCCCTCTGAGTGCCAAATCTTCTAAGTCTTTTTACCTCCTTATGCGCCCTACAAGTATCAACTGTTTCTTTCTGATGTTAATGATAAATGTCTTTTTTGTTTATATTTTCCCAAAACTTCCTCGTTGCTCACATGTTCGGCCCATGTTATCCTCAGCATCTTTCGGTAGAATCATATTTCTGTTACATCAAGCCTTTCTTTATCTGTTATGAGATTGTCCAGCATTTACTGCCATATAGAAGAACCGATATTGCGTAACAGTTTAGTATACTTTGTTTCTTACAAACATTTCCTGTTTCTTAATACTTTGCCTCCTTTTTATATCACTTACTAGGTATTTAGATTTTTGTACTTGCTTGGTTTTGGTGTCTCAAAAATAATTTAATTGCAGTTCCATGATGAAGGTACAGAACAGAAGCATGAATACATAGCAGCATTGTGTGGAACATCAGAACATATCCGCTTCATTTCCATCAGGCTATGGAAACGGAAAAGTGAAAAAAAAAATTACATTTCGGACTATTGTCCTCATGTTTGTTATTGTTATCACAGCATTTCGGCCGTTGTACTCTTCGTCCTTCATTAGGTGTATAACGACCTGGGTAACCTACAGGAAATTCTGAACTGAAGATTTATTTAATATAAGAGGTCAAACCGTCCTTGTTCCACTGCTCTTCTTTGGGATTATCTCGTCCCCCCACCAAAAAAAATCAAATATTTTTCAAAGACGACATCAAAATTTCTTTCTGTTTAAATATGTGCAAGCTCTGTAGGTATTTTATAGGTATTTTATTTTATCTATAGTTATTATTGACTTATCTTACGTGGTCCCACCTTAGCCACTAAAATCCGGACTAACAACATATAGCTCATGGCTTTTATAGCCCTAAAAAACATCATTGTACCTAATGACGACTTATTTAAGATTTTGAAGCGATGAAATCTTGAGGGCAATTTGTATCCTTTACACAAAATATGATCAAAGAAACAGCACAGTATTCCATGTAGGAGGTGGAATCTTCTTAGCACGAACAAGCACGGATTAAATATCTTATATACTCGTGTATAAGGCAAATTCAGGTACAATGCGACATTTGATTTTTTTGGCAGTAAAAAATTTACCTGTGTATAGTGCAACCGGTCACTGAAAATTTATGATTTTTATTTATTGATTCATTTCTGTTTAACGGCATACCAACTCCTTATGGATCATTTAATGCTGAAAATTAATTTTCTTGGGAGGTTTGAAGTAATAAAAATATATATATTATTCTGCTTTCACAATAAAATACATGGTAGATGATACCCAGCTTTTGTGCATATACATATTTGTGTAGACATAATTACGAGAAGAGGCGATATGTGTGTTTCACGTTGTAGTTTTGTTGAAATTATATTTTTCAATACTGTTTGTTTTCTTTAAGAAACTATAGGATCTTATATGGATCAATGTCATGAAAGAGTTCTTTCATGTTGACTGTTTGGCAGTATTTTAAGCGGATTTGGGTGAAGTTGCTATAAAAATATATTGTTCGTAATTTTACTATAAAAATGTACTGTTGACTTTTATTTGGGGTTTCACTATTTGGACAGAGATGGGATCCAAACAGTTGCTACCCCCCGAGCCAGTGTGGACCTCGGAACAACAGTAATTAAGACGTGGTCCCACACTCCTCAAAAGCTCCAATCTCCCGATTAGAGGCCTTTCTGCTGGATGTAGTTTATCGTCAAAATTGGAAATCTAAGGAGAATCTGAACCAACCCAGATATCAACATAACAGAAACCTGGAAGAATACTGAGGAGATTGCTAAAGCGGTAAAGAGACTTGTTGTCACTTGATTAACAATAAGAACCACATGTACTCGATATGAGATAAAAGTAAGTCTAACGCCATCATCACTACTAAGGTTCTGCTACTGTCCACTTTACTTCGATATTAATAAGAGACTAAAGCAAGCAGAAGTTGAATCGAAGGTTTCAGAGTAACCAATACAGGATTATTTCCGTTGCGACAAGCAGTAGAAGGATTTGTATAAGTAACTTCGCCAAGCCTCAGTCGGCAGCTTTGAAGTTCCTTAAGCTGGGCTTTTCCGTCCCATGACCCGGCATTTTGTACTTAGGCCAGTAATCCGTGGTCAGCAAAATAAAAACAGACTTCTATTTAAAATACTGCTTGTTTCTTTTTGGAATCAAGGGAGCATTTTCAAGAATATTTGGAAATCCCTTATCATACAACCCCAAAAGAACTGAAAAAATCGAAAGAAAAATACTTTCAATAATTCGTGAGAAGCATGACAATCAATTGACATATAATCGATGTTGGAAAAAAAAACAAAACAAAAGAAATTCGATATTTATTTTTTCAGTTTTAGCGAAGGAAATGTGGTTCTCTTACAAGAAATCTCTGACATTTCTATACTAGCTTTTACTTAATAATTAACCCATAGCTGGGGGAGAAGATGTGGATTTATATATTTTCCAAAGGTATTTGCGTGTAAGCAAATATAACGAACCCAACTGCAATTGGAACTCGGATCTCCTATTAACAATTCCGAGCCACTAACAATTACATCAACCGCACATCCATGTTTACAACACATGGTATTACGAAGCTGTCACCCATCTAGGTACTGACCAAGCTCGACGTTGCTTATCTTCAGTGATCTTACTGGAACCGGTGTTATCAGCGTGATTTGGCTGTAAGCCGGAGAAAGATAAATTTCCGCGTAAAATGGGAGTATAAGTTTTGTAATTGAAAATTATTTAAATTTGGAATTGTATAGGTCTATAACTTATTTAGAGGAAAATTATTCTCAAAGCGAAATGCAGCACTGGACAACAGAGAAACTTTAGAATTAAAGAAAAATGATGCTGTTGGCCACATTGTAGGTGTGAATGGACTGGTTAAGATACTTAAATAAAATTATCGTTGTTAAATGGGACAGTTTGTTTGACATACTTTAATTTTTGTTTCTACAACTTGATAACACCACCACCGGATTTTGAGCCCAAAATGTCCTGCCATTTTTTTCTAATGTTACGTAACAAAACAAAATACGATCTAAAGTTTTGCATAAAAAATATTTATTCACTATGATAAGTTTTTCACTTTGACAAACATGTGCTTAGTTTATGCTGCAATTTACTCTGATTGTCAGCGCAGTCATTGAGTATGATAAACAATATATATTTTGTGGAGTTACCCCACTTACTTTCCTAACAAAAAAACGCCACTAGGGGACGCTTTCTGAACCAGTAAGTACACTGTAACATTTTTTATCATTCGCGTTTTTCTATTTTCTAAGAGACACTAGGATATATTTGTAATTACTTATTTAATGAAAGCATGTTTTTTCGTTGGGAAACCTACGAACCAATATCTGCTACTTGAAAAGTCAGCCACAGTAATGTTTGAAAGGATTGTTTTTATCCGGCATAGTTTCTTATTATTATAAATGTTATTTTTGTAGATAGGCCTGTTGTTATTAATTTTACTGTTTAATAAAATAAAATAAAAAAAAAAAACTGGGATAACAACTCTAACACATGTGTCCACTAAAAAAAAAACGTTTATAGTAATAATATATAAAAAAAATTTATATATATATATATATATATATATATATATATATATATATATATATATATATATCCAGTTAAGATGAGAACGAATAGAGCACAATAAAAATAGTTTATCATAGACAATCTCTTGATTAGATGCACTGATACTCATCGAAACACAGCTGCAATTGTGTAGCGATTTTGACATGCTTTCGGTGTAATATCCTAAAATAAATTTTATATATATATATATATATATATATATATATATATATATATATGTATGTATGTATATAATTATTAATTTAAAAATATGATTCCAAATCGCGACATAAGAGGTCTCATGTTTCAAAACAAGAGCCAAAAACTTCAATATAATTATTTGAATTAAATTGAATTCAAGTAAGCTCTGTTCCATCTTCAAGCGAAATTTTTTTAGAATAACTTATTTCTGAAATTTACGTGTTTTAATAGTAAATTCATAATTGAAATCAAAATTTCCATGGTAACAGCCAGGGCGAATTGTTCAAAATAGTTAGGGGTGTGTTGGCTGTTAATAATAATTATATTTATGCTCTACTTTTGTATCGAGCACTATTTTTTAAGAATAATAACAAAAATACTAAGGAACCTGGGATTATTTACCTAAGCAGTTCTTTCCTATTTTCTATATTTTCACACACACACACACACACACACACACACACACACACACACACACACACACACACACACACATATATATATATATATATATATAGGTTTCATTAAAAACAACTGAGAAGGTATTACGATTAAACTTTTTATTGAATTTCTCTTATGTTCCAATGAGTTTTTTCTTTTCTGGACAACATAAAGGATGAAAAAAATTGTCAAAATGTTCTTTCGGTATTCTTTTACCATTTTTCTTATCTGAATGAATGATGTTTTTAATGCGTCTATCCAGAGTTATGAGAATTTTTTATTTTACAAACACGATCAGTATATTGTGGCCGTGTGCATAGTTGTTGTTATTGAGTATTGGCTTTCTCTTTTTTATTATTAGTTCTTCTATCATTTTTAGTTTATTTTACATGTTGATGAGGCTATTATACTTGTAGTTTCTACAATTATAATGTGTTTTGTGTTTAGCATATTTCCGTGTGTGTTTAAATGAAACCTAATTAAGCTATTGTCAGAGAGGCATGTAGTAGTATGCCCCAAATAATTATTAATGAATTTTGTTTTTATCGAGAACACTGTTCACTAACGGGCATGGGAAATCATAAATATCATAGATTATCATAGGCAGGTTCTATGTTGTTACTGTTAGTGATAAGGTTAGCTGTTAATATTCTTGTTCTGAAAACGACTGGTGTTGTGTATTCCTTTATAATTTTTCTTTATATTCTCTCTCTCTCTCTCTCTCTCTCTCTCTCTCTCTCTCTCTCTCTCTCAACACAGACAAAACACGCACACACACATATATATATATAGTGATTCTATCTATCTATCTATCTATCTATCTATCTATCTATCTATCTATCTATCTATCTATCTATCAACACACACGCACACACACAGACACACATATATAGAGTGATTCTATCTATATCTCTCTCTCAACACACACACACACACACGCAAACACACACACACACATATATATAGTGAATCTATCTATCTCTCTCTCTCTCAACGCACACACACGCACACACACACACACATATATATATAGATTCTATCTCTCTCTCAAAACACACACACGCATACACAGACACACACATATATATAGTGATTCTATCTATTTCTCCCTCTCTCAACACACACACACACACGCATATATATATAGTAGTATATATATATATATATATATATATATATATATATATATATATATATATATATATATATATATATAACTAGTGTACCCGTGTCGTAAAAAATGACTGCTTTAACTCATTATCATAACCTCGTAATATATGGTAGAAAGATCTTTTGATTGTTGTTGGATGCATTTAAATAATATGAGAACCTTTAATTACATCAACAATATTAATACGAAATTTATATCTTAATAGTTATTCAAATTATATATTTAGTGAGTAAAAGGGTGTTGAATCTCGGATACCATATTTCACACATTCAATATGAGAACCTGTAATTACATCAACAATATTAAGACTAAATTTATATGTGAATTTTGTTCGATAACCGAGGCATTTTCATCTCGAATTTTCTATTCGAAAACCGATTTGTTCGAGATGCGAGACGTTCGAGAACCGTGATTGCACTGTATTACAATAGAATTCATGATACATCTTGCTATTTCAACAACAAAACGATAAGAAATCCAGTAGTACGCTTACATTTATGCGGTCGAGGTACCAAACGGGTGGGGTATAGCAATTACCATGAAAATATTTACAGAAAAGACAGGGGGAAGTCAGGTCACGGCGGTGAGAAAAGGCGAGATCAGGATCGATAACATTAGAGAATCTTCTGTCTATTTTGTTGAGAATCATGGGACATATAGTAGGAGTATCAGACCAGATATGGCAACAATATTCAATGCATGGACAAATGGTAGATTTATAATTTTTCAAGATGGATTTCGGCGAGAAAGATTGTCTGACATGACACAGTGAACTAACCTTCATAGCAGAAGGACTAACAACTGATTCAATATAATCACTCCAGCTCATGTCAGCGGAAAAGTGAAGTCGTGTAATGGGTTGCTCTTTTGAAGCTTAGCATCAGCCATACCGATAGGAGACACAAACAGTGTTCTATCAGGATTAAAAGGTAGCAGTGTCGTTTTGAAAGCGTTGATATTTGCAAGTCATTTCTTGCCACTGTTAACAACTGACTGGAGGCCATTTTCGAGTTAATGAAGAAATATGACTTGTAAAAAGTGACATTTACATGATTAAAAGGTAGCAGTATCGTTTTGAAAGCGTTGATATTTGCAAGTCATTTCTTGCCACTGTTAACAACTGACTGGAGGCCTTTTTCGAGTTAATGAAGAAATATGGCTTGTAGAAAGTGACACTCACAGGATTAAAAGGTAGCAGTGTCGTTTTGAAAGCGTTGATATTTGCAAGTTATTTCTTGCCACTGTTAACAACTGACTGGAGGCCATTTTCGAGTTAATGAAGAAATATGACTTGTAGAAAGTGACACTCACAGGATTAAAAGGTAGCAGTGTCGTTTTGAAAGCGTTGATATTTGCAAGTCATTTCTTGCCACTGTTAACAACTGACTGGAGGCCATTTTCGAGTTAATGAAGAAATATGGCTTGTAGAAAGTGACACTTACAGGATATACTGAAATAAAAGAGAGAAAAGGAAACTGCAAGTAACTTACCTAAGAATTGTGTGTAAAATGGATGACAGAATGGAAACTGGGTTATATAGTAAGAGGACAAAGGATAGGAAGTTCTGGAGAGCCATTATCACCTACGTTCTGGTGGTGCGTAAAGTAGTAGAAGATGAAGTTGTGATATACTATAGATTTTATTAAATGCCTGCGTCTGATCCGATAATAAATCTTACCTGGAGTCTGAACTTTTATTATTAATGATGTTATCATTCAGAATTATAATATTTCCTTGTCAATTTACGGTAATAATCAAGTTTAGTAAGACCTGCTTCATTAAGAGGATATATCTACTTTAGAAAAGATATACAACTGACTGACAAAATACTTAAAACTTTCCACAGTCAATATTTCCAGAAATTTCCAGAAATTATTTAATGAGAAATGAATTAGAACTGACACAAATGTAAAGACTTCGATAAAGTTATTTATAAAAAATACAACCGTGTCCTAATCGTTCTGTTGTCAGAACCATGTGCATTAAATTGTTTTTTTGCAAACACGGGCGAACAGTTAAAGGTACAATCAACAATTTCAGAATGTCTTACACGGTATAATAAGATTTTATTATTTTTATATATTCCAGACATTTCAGACGTTCGTAAATTTGGTCTTCAAGTTCTTAGAAGCGAAAAAAAATCGATGTCTCATACAAAGGAAGGTCGAATGAGTTTAGTCGGTTGGCAAGACATTCGTTGGTTCTAAACAAAGTTTTTCTGTGCGGGGACGAAGCCAAATGGAAAACATGGACGACGCTGTTGGTGGGCCAGAATGAAAAAAAAAAAAGTATAATAAAAAATAAACATATATATCAAGGTAAAAATAAATATGGAACGTGAACATGATGGGAATTCTCATTTGATGGAAATGAGTGACCCTTGTGTAAAGTGTTCAGAAGAAAACATTTAAAAACGACACATCTTTTGAAAAGACTTTCGGATAAGCAAGCTTCAACTGTCAACCGTCTTTCTTTATGTGTCTACATTTTTCTATGCCATTATATGTAAAGAAAGCAACGTACAAGTTCAAGATAAGTAAGCAAAATAATCGATCAGCTAACAGAGGTTAAGCAAAAGAAAGTAACGACGAAATACAAGGCATTTTACAAAAAATTAAGATTCTGAGTTATTCAGCCTTCCATATTAAAGAATGTTTCTCATTATAAATGCTGAATGAACGAGTAAATCGTTACTTTTTTAAAATCATTTCACCCCAATAAAGCAATAACGCCAGTATGACGCAAGGATGTTACTAAATGTTAAGTAATGTGAGAGAAACTACTGTGAAGGAGAGAGGACAATAAAAGAACAAGAAATAAGAGGACAGAAGATAACGTTAGGCGTTGCATTTAAAGTTTTGAAGATCAAACTTGAGTAGGAAGCAAGAAGTTGGAAGAGAGTTCCACAAGCGAGAAGTGCAATAGAAGGAACTGTTAGCATAGAACTTACGGTTACATCTAGCCATTTCAATTGTAAAAAGATGAGACCTCGCCGCCAATCTCGTACTGCGCTTAAATTCATACATTCTAGGTACCATAGAGGAAAGTTCATCCGAACAGTTACAATGAAAGTATTTATAGAAATGGCACAAGGAAACTATGTTACGGCGGTGGAAAAGTGACTTAAGGTGAGATGCCAGGCTAGGATCAATAACATTGCAGATTCTTCTTTGGATTTTATGAAGAATCTATAAATATATAGCAGGAGCACCAGACCAGATGTGGCAGCAAAATTCAAAGCAATGACGAATGGTAAACTTATAAATAAGATAGATTCTGGAGAAAAAATTGTTTAGCACGACAGAGTAAACCAACTTTCTTAGCTGCTGACTTAGCAATTGATTAAATATCCTCTTTCCACTTGATGTCAGCTGAAAACGTTAGTCCGAGACGGCGCAAGTGTCACTCTCCTGTAGGTTAGCATCAGCCATACTGATGGAAGGTAAAAAGTGTCCTATCAGCTGATTAAATGAGAGCAGTTTCGTTTTTGAGCCGTTAAAATTAACAAACCAGACATTGTTCTATTTAACAACAGGCTGTTGGTCATGTTTTTTAGATCAGCTGCCAATTTGATCTTATGGAACTAATCAGATTTAATATTAAGACAGGAGTAAATAGTGGTGTCTTCATAGATACGGAGTTGAAAAATGATGACGCCGGGAATGTCATTTACGAAAATTAGAACCAATGTAGACCCAAAGATTGAGAAAACCTATAGAAAAGCATTCGTAAACAAAATTTTTTTTTTTTTTGAAAATAGATGTATTCTTACCTCATGAAGATTGAAATATAATCTCTGGGTCGGAGCTTCCCAACCCTCGCCTTTCTAGCCTCGAACAATGTTAAAATCTTTTACACGGCCTTTGTCTGCTATGAATTGTTTGTAATTTCCTACAGACAGAACGTTGTTACCCTCTCGCAACTCTCCCGCTATTCTCGTGGCAGATGTTCGGCCGGACGACATTCCTTCTTTCCATCAGTCCAGACTAGGACCCGCCATGCCAGGTACACCGAGTCGACTCATCGTCTTTCCATTCCTATTCCATTTGTAAGGAGTAAGTTTCACTCAGATAGCTCTTCCCCAGAATTGTTTCGATATGGAACGTACTTCCGAGGGAATGCTTCCATGATCATTATAAGTCGAAGATTAATAGTTGTCTGTTCTACATAATTTAATACTCTTACCTCTTTTCAACAGCCCCATTTAGTAACCCTCTAGATTGAATGGCACTTATGGCTTGTATTAGTTGAACAATATTAAAAAAATATAGGGTGTTTCATTAGACGGATTATATACAAGGGTGTTTTATTAAGACGGATCTAAGTCAGCAGTGAATAAATCAGTGTTATTAGTGAAAATCTATTTATTTCTCTATTGGATCATATTAGTTAAGTCATGGCAATTATGTGTGAAATTATGTGTGAAAAATAATATTGCCCAAATGTCCGCCAAATCTGAAAGAAAAAAAATCATTAGACGCATAAACTTCATTGACATTTAAAATCGGTCAAAGTTATTAGATCACCCTTTACTTTTCTTTTTAAACCTCTGTAATTAAAATACACATGCTAGAAGTTTTATTAAATTGTATAATATCCAGCGTAAAATCCGATATTAATAATAAAAATCAAAATCCGTTATTAATTACAAAATCTAAATGTAGTATTAATAATAAAAATAAAAAATCCTGTATTAATAATAAAATACCTGATTCCTTATGT